CTTTTCTATAACCAGTATCACCCATCGACCTGAATCATGCATTTTAGTTTGAATTATTTTCCCCTTAAATGTACCTTTTAATATCGCAACACCAGCTGAACGATTACTCCCATATGACATCCATAAATCATCCCCCCATTGGCTCTTCCAAAACTTATGATCTGACAAAGATGCATGTGTTTCTTGAATATAATAAAAATCACATTTGAATTTCCTGCAAAACAAAAAAACTGCTTTCCTTTTCAGCAAATCTCGAATTCCCCTGACATTTAAAGATAACACTGACAAAGATACCAATGTGCTATATTCGCAACTTTAAATTTAACAAATGTGAAACAAAACATGTTCCCAACACCTCAACAGTAGAATTGACAACCCAAATTGACCTTAATAAACTTTTAAACTAAATCAAAACCGTTTAGAAAACTAGGCTACTGTGCAAGTGCAACATATATTTAGTCTATGTTTCGATTAACAACGGTCCATTTTGTCCGCAAACTGAAAAAAATTCGGCTATGTTGTAAATGTCACAAAAGTGACAAAAATCAGATTATGACTGCACTTGTCACCTTTCATAACACTTGCAGAATCGTTGTATGATTATATTCAAACTTTAGGGAGGTATTTCTTTTCCATCAACGAAGGCTCGTACGCCGACGAAGTAAGCCTTCTTCCCTACCTGACGAGCAGCCTCCACCTTTGGCCACAGTTGCCTACGTATTGCTTTGTCCATAGACGTTAAATCCTCTCCAAACCGTAGCTCCTTGGATCTCAGGTAGGTGCTGGTTTTTGCCGCTTTCCAAAGTACGTCTCGTAAGGATCTGGACACAAACTGGATGATGATCGTTCTCCCTTTCGTGGCGTTTCCTTCAAGTTTTCTTCCGAGCCGGTGTACTGTATCTACATCTTGTTGTATTTTGGTGGTGAACTCTGGAAGAATTGCGCAACAGATATCCACGACTTGTGCCTTCACATCTTCGCCTGTCTGCTCAGCCAGACCGTACAATCTCAGATTCCATCTTCTTTTATACCGTTCTATCTCGTTAAGCCTGGAGTCGAACTCCGACATTTTCTTACTATGTGCATCATGACCTCATGCATCGCCTTCGTGTCCTTTTTCAAGATTTTCACATCATCTTTGACATCCTTTACTTCATTGAAGAGGAATTCCGTCGTTTTTTTTAAAGCTTCAATGCTCACCGTATTTGCCCTTAAGAGCTCCTCTAATCCGTTGACTCTTTCATTTATGCAACGCATGATGTTTTCTTGAATTTCAGACAGGGACGGTTCAGTTTTACTTTTCTTCGGCTCAGGGGTGCTGGGCGTTGAATCCGAAGGAACTGTAGTGCCTTGCACTACATATGCGTGCATTGTTTGAATGTCAGTGCCGCAAATGTGTATTTCATCCTCTTTGTTCTTCATCTTTGTCAGCGGCTTTGTTAGGCTCTTTTCTTTAACTTTACTCTCCCTTTCTTTACGTTTATCCGCCATTCGATGCAGTCTCTCTTGGTTAGTCACAACGTTCAAAAGCAATTTACAACGATTAGGCTATCCGTGTTAATTATCTGGTAAATAATAAAATCTTACATTTAGATGTCCGATTGATCAATTTTTTAACAAAAAAGAACGAAATGAGGTGAAGGAACAAACTTTTATCCTCAGCTTCTCAAAACTACCTCCTCACCGGTCGCCATCTTGCGCGCCCTCGAAATCTATGAATAACAGACGAACCAAGGTCGCTCTGCATACGTCATCTTCTTCATCGCTCTGATTGGTTTTAGGTCTATCCAATTGCGCCCAGATGCATTTGAGCTACGTCCGTTGGTGACGCCCCTTTGGAAATGATTTGTCTATGAAGCTTTGCCAGACCATAACTCAGTTACAACTGAGAATGGTCTGATTTTAACCAGGCTACAAGTATAGGCTATTTAAAAACCAGCGCTCTCTCTGCACCATTTTATCTGGCGTCACTGGAGCATCAGAGTTTGCTAACTGGTGACAGCTTCACGTGGATGCATGGATCTGAGAAACATTTAATGTACTCAGGTACACCGGTGTAACAATAAACGGCCGTTTATTTTATTTGTGGTCATACAGCGAAGTGTATGTTTCAGGCTTGCAAAGGGGTTTGTGTGTTGCGGGCCCACATTAAGCTGTTTTTTTTTTCATTTTCTGAATGATATAGGGGTTAATACTCTGATTCATTGAGAATATATCACTACAGGGTTACAGTTGTGTTTCCAGTTGAAACTAAAGTTTATTTACTGCATTTCTGTTCTAAGCATTCAAATATACATTCACTTTTAAAAAGGATGTGTTATTTAATAACACGTTTTTTTGTGTTATTGCTATTCTAACACATTTTGTGTAGTTTTAAGTTGATCATGTGTAAAAAGAAAAAGAAATAGAGAGAGAGAAACAACACAGTGTGTCCAACACAATATGTGTTAACTATCATCCAATCACATTGCTGCAACGTCACTCCGCGCCTCAAGAAGCAAGTTCGCGCCTCTTTTTCCATCGATGGATGACCTGGAGGCACACGTCAGGTATTTCGATTGATTTTTTTATTAGAAATTGTCAAATATAAATTGTCAAATGTATTTTATTATTGTTGTTGTGTTTTTAGACGGCCAAATGTGCATTTAGTTAGCGACTTCTACTGTGTACGGGTATTTTCCGTTGACGCTAGAGGCTTGAACAAGCCTAATTATAGTATTAGCTGCTAACGTTAGTGCTTCACAAATGATTTTTATTTCTCCTCATAGACTTTGGTAGGTAGGGTTGTCCCTCACTTTCTAGAGAGAACTCATTTTTAACTGTTTTTCTTTGTTTGATTTGTTGCAAATGGCATGATGTCTGATACAACGCTGCAGCTCATTAACGAGTTTGACAATGTTAAGGTTAACTGTTAACGTTACCACTTTCATTCCTGTATCTGTCGCCTTTCTTTCATTAAACAACAGAATGTGTTGATGTTTTGTTAAATGCCCTTTAATATTAACATGATTTATCAAGGTAACGGTCAATTTGGTTGACTTCAGTTTGTGCATTTCGTGTACACGTAACGTTAATTGACACAAATTGTATAATAATATAACACATTGGTGTGTAGAAAATAAGCAGGAATTAACACATTGTTGAGTTAAAAGTAACACAAAATGTGTTGTTCTCTGTTTTCAACATCTTTTTAAGAGTGCATTGTAATACGAGACAAACAGATTCGGAATTCGGAACCGCGTACTAGCACACTACTTTTGATATTTTGGGGCAGAAATAAAAAAAGTACTTTAGTATGAAGTGAAGGTGATAGTCACTGGAAATTGTTCCTTCTCCTTAAGGAAATTTGTAGTATAATTTTTGCACCAGTTGTTACCAAAGGATTAGCTGTTTTTTTTAAAGCAGCTAGTTATTGATCACCATAATTTGTTTAAGACTATATCCAAACAAATCACTAATACCAAAGCATCATTTTATGACTCATTACTGGCGAATGATGATAAAATTTGGCCCACTGTCTAAATTTTGGTGCATGAGATTTGAGGGAAAGCATGGTCCTCTAAAAAGACAAGCACAAGTTGTATGTAATTTTGTAAATATAAGACATTAGCCTACAAGAGTCAGGTTCAGACTGTGTTTCATTGGAAACTGGGAAGTCCGTTAACAGAAAAAAATTCTGTCCTAAATGTTTTTCCAGTCATGGTTGGATCTTTGGAAAAAAAGTGTTCTGTTTGTTGAAAACATGAGAGACTTTGGCTATGAACTTGACAGATGTAGCACTGTTCATGTTTCTCACTCTGTTGGTGTGTTTGGTCAGACTTTTCAAACTGGTTGTGTACTTGCTTTAGACTGTGACTTAAGAAAAGAGCGTCTCTTTGGTGAAGTTTTACACATAGTTCCACAATGTGAAAAATAAATTGTTTTAGTTTTTCTTAGAGTTCTGTCACAAATGTACTTTCACCCACACTTTTATGCTTGTGCAGTCCAAAGAACAAATGAATACAAGGTGATTAATTTGAGTAATGCTGATGATGTAAAACCTCTTCACATGATTTCCTTCAAAGAAAACCTTTTTGTAAATCCAAGATATAAAATTGTTTAAAAATGTCTTTATGAAATTCAAATGACATGTGAATGTTGACTGAAAATGTAGCAGTTAAGTTTTAATAAATTATTATTATTTTTTTAATTATTTTTTTGTTTTGTGTTCATTTTAACTGGTCAAAAATAGCACAACAAATAACACAAATTGTGTGATTTACCACGCATTAGTGTGTTAAATATTTTAACACACTACCTGTGTTAAGAACAATAACACACTGGTTGAGTTAAAAGTAACACAGAATGTGTTGTCCTTAACTAGACACACAGGTGTGTTAAGATAACACAGGTTAGGTTTTTAACACAGGTTGTTTATAACACATCTGTTTTAAGAGTGTTGGTTTACTCCAAGTATGGTAAATTTGTACCGCATGTAAACAAACTGAATCACTCCATCATATTAACCTTCAGTGAAAAGCCGTAATTTTTAACCCTTGAAATTTGTACACAAAAAAACAAGTCATCAAGCACTGTAGTTCATGATTTTAGCTCTTTGTTAATTCCTTTTAAATAAATTGCACATTTCAGTTTTATATTGTGATCACTTAGACCATGTAGATATTGGAGTGGATATTGAAGGAAAGTGAGCATCTGCACACATTTTTATTCTTCACTTTACCATTAGCTATTCTAACATTTGCAAAATATAGAATCCTGCCAGAAGATCTGTTTTGTCAGTCAAACCTGTTAACAGAAGAGATTTGCTAACTGTATTAGTCTACTATCAGCCAGAGAGTTTGACTGAGAAAGCCAGAGAAGAGCCAAAGTGATGGTGAATTGGTTTATTTAATCTTAGTTGCGCATGTTTCATCTGACTAGTACAAATTCAACAAGTGTTATTATACCAAAGCACAAGCAAAGGAAAAATAAAATACTGCTTCACAACTTCATCTTGTGACTCTACAAAACCTTGAAATGGCTCTTGCTAATTTCCCCACCGATGTGCTCTCAGATGGCCACACTGTTGGGGATTCGGTCTGGAGACAGATACCAATACGGCACTTTCAAATTCTCATTTCGGCTCTTGATGATTTTGGTCACTTCAGCTAATTTCTTGCGGAAAGTCTTAGCGGCTCCCATGACCGGTTGTTCAGTGAAGTACATATCTGGATACTCGCCTAAAAACATCTGGAGAAGATTTGCACACAATCAAAACAACTTCAATTTGTAGGAAGAAAAGGTTTATGCAAACTAGTTCTGAAGAATCAGTCATCAAACCTCGTTGTCCTGGAATTGACTGAGGGCCCAAATTATTCCGAGATGCCAAGAGGAACGTCCGCGGTCCGGCAGACTCTCCATGATGTACTTCATATCCACCTGGCCCTTCTGAGCGGGAGGGGGCTTCCGCATGGTGGAAGGGCTGTTTGGGATCCAGGAGAACCAGTCATACTGGAACCCAGGACAGACACACAGATATCAGCCTATAGATGTTCACATTTATATTCATCTTGAAAAGTGTGTAAACGCACCTGTCCAAAGTTGACTGCAGCGTGTTGTGCTGAAGCTGTGAAAATCACAACAGTCAGGAACTCGACCAACTGCTCCCGAGTTTTCAGGGAATCCGGAAACTCTGTGAACATTAGATATGAGTTTACTTTGTGTATGCATTATTAGAGTGGTGTAAACCATGCATATGGAATCATACAAATTTTGTAAACAATTATAAACATGTTACATCCTAGGTTGTAATTGACCCTTTTTAAAGTCCTACAATGGTCAATACACACCATTTTTCTTTTTAACGTCCACCAACATTAATCTGCTAACTCATGTCTAGTTAGTTTTTCTGACAAAATGGCAATTCAACATTATGATTGATTAGATGGCAAAGGGTGAATTACTATTCTACTTTTTTTTTTTTTTAAGTGGAATGTTTTGGTGTTCTGCTCGCCTTCTCAATGGAGACCAGCCGACTCTAGTATCATCCACTGCTGGTTTCCTCTCCAGCTTCATACACAAGCTGCCAATCAAAGTTTGAAGAAGCCTTTTTGTCTCCAGGCGGCTGAGACTTTTCTCCTGCCCCAGACATTATTAAGTGTGCTATTGTTGTGCGTTTATCTTGTTGTACATATTGTTCACTGAAGAGGACTTTGGTTACTCTGTTGTTAATTAAGTTCACTGACACTCTTAAGGATGGATTTAAATTTGAAACAGTTTACAATTTGATTTTGGAAGCAGTAGGAAGGTCGATGCCATTTTGGTTAATGTCCGTGTTTGGTTAGAGGGGGGAGTAAGGTCTGAATTATTTTCTTAATTTTTAATTTTGTTTTTGAAATTTTAGAAAGTACTCCCCTCAAAGTCCGAACTGATGTTCGTTATTTTGGCCTGGTCCCCTCCTGAAGACTATTTGAAGCATCCCCTTTTGCATTTAGAACTTGCCAAATAAATGTTACTTGTAAAATCAAGTAGAGTTCTTGGTTGCCTGATGGAGTTAAGTTTGATCTTTTTCATGAATTCCTTTCTTACCCCCTCTCTAGACTGGGAAGGCGTGTGTAAATTGGGGGCTCATCCGGTACTTCTCGCAGGGTTGGGGAGATAAAAACACATTTACATTTTAAATGATCCTGCACTCACCACAATTCTTCATCCCAGAGAAGCAAACATCCTGAACAAATGCTTGAATCTCCTTGTCTTTCTGAACTGTCTCATCACTGCTATAGAAGATCTTCACCACATCAGAAACAAAACTGGAGGAAGATCAAGTTAGATGAATCAGCAAATGTAAAAAATAAAAATACATCTATTTGTCAAATGCTGTAATAAAATGTTCTTAGTTCAAATGCTAATAGTGAGCACGAAAAAAACAGATGTAACCATTTTCTGTAAAATAAATAAACCACACCCACGGTTCGGTATGCATTTACACGGCGGTTAATCTCAAATCTGACGATGCAACTATAATATAGTAAAAAAAAAAAAAAAGCCAGTGCTGCATTGTAAAAAAATAAATAGATAATTGATCATTTATACACCTCTTTGTGTCTTGCACTTCAATGCTTTAATTGGCAAGGTTTAAAAATAACATGTGCACGCTGTGAGAAATTGTGCGTGAATATTAAATGGAGTTCTTTAATTCTTCTTGCTCTTGAATGGACAAATTCACAATTTTCAAAGTGCCCATCTTGGAGTGTATCCTAGTAAACAGTCAGTTATGTCTTAAGTGGACGTTAACAGTTGAGAAAGGCAGCACGTGTACAGTATCTGTATATTGATCCATGCATTATGTCTTAATATTCCTGCTGCTGTCTGTGTTTTTAAAATGTTAAACAGCAAGAAAATAAGGGGAAAAACCCACACTGCTCTTGGCTGAATAACTTGGTAAGTTATAGTTTGATTTGTTCCATTTTATTACTGGCTGTTAATGTTAATAATATTGGAAACGTATACTAGTTAGGCTAGTAGTTTTTGCTGTGGTTTCAAAACTGGAATAGAGAATTGTGAAATTTTCACTGACATCTACAATTTTGGTGTCATAACCTTATTACATTACAAGCACATATCAAACCATACCGAAACAGGTGACCAAAAACTGAACTGTGAATAATTCAAACTGTTCCACCACGAATTTGAACTGTAAATTGTGTATTTTATCGACTACCTTTTCACTGCCTCCCAGACCATCATGCCATCATCTCTGTAGTAGTAGTTGGGCAGATCTTCCACTCCTCGAGCTTTTATGGCCTCAGGGAAGCACAGGGACTTATAGGTTAAAGTCTTCATGGCCTTCTGAATCACTTCCACAATTCCCGTTCCACCAGCACTAACAAACTTTGAAACAAAAGGACACCAGTGAATCTTAGTCTCAGACCACATTTTTAGAGAAGTGCAGTGAAGTCTACAAAACAGAAGCCACAGCTAGATGAAAATATCAAGTCATAAAGAAGACTGTATGCCTCATCAGACCTCAAAGTCATGTGAAAGAACCAGGAATAAACATGAAAAGAAAAACTGGTTCCAAGGAAATATATTCAGAGTTAAAGATACCTGGTCAACGATCCCATTTTTACTGATGAGTTTTTCTCGAGCCGCAGTGTTGATGGCAATGGTGAAACGGACATGAGGTATCAGCAACTGTAAGGAGAAAATAAAGGCTGCAATGACTGGCTGAGAGACTCTGGGCTTCAATAAAGCAATAAGCCACACGTTTCAAAATCTCCCTTAGCCGTCGTATGTGGTAAAAACACCCAGGCAAGTGCATTAACAGCAATAGCAATATGAGAAATGGCACAAAAACCATGACTGGATCCTAGAAGGACAGTAACCTTCAGCCCTTCAATATCCACAAAACTTCTTTCTTTGGCATTCTCTGAATCAGATAAACTACATCAAATCCCATAGCAGTGAAAGCATGATAGGATGGCTACCTTGTATACCGGATGGACCGCAGCGAGCTGTCTGTACATGGCAATGGCAAAAACCTCAGATGTCAGATGTGTCCTGAGAAGGTGTGTGACCAGCTGGTGTACATTAAAGTCGGAGGATTTCACCCACATCTTGGCTAGCATCCAGTCGTGGTCATTATCGCTCGGGAGAAAGACAGTGTTCGCCTCCCCATCAGGGGTCTGACGACTGAGCTGTTTCAGATCAAGTAAACGAACAGAATATTTGGTAAAAAGCACTAACTTTTTTACTTTTGAAGTAATATTTTACTCTATTTCTACAGGCACCTGAATAGCGATCGGCATGATTTCATTCTGGCTGTTCTTGTACAGCAGGCAGAAGGGAGCAGCCAAATACTGCTGGGTATTCGGGTCTGTGGCATTGGCTCGCACTCCCTCCAGTATCGCATAGTCTGCGATGTAGATGTTCCCTGCCTGTAATAGAGAGGCATTTAGAGTTGGAGCCAGAGTGACACTGGAGAAATTCTTATTATTCAATCACATCCAGAATTGACCACTGCAACCTTACGATCTACACACTCAGGTTGAAGCATTATTTTCTGACCTTTAACTCCTCCTGTAGAGTGAGACCTCTATCCAGGGAGCCTTTCACCATCTCCTGTGTGACTGTGAACTTGTCTGGAAGATTCATGCACTTACTGATCATCACAGGATTGCAGCCGTTTAAGAACTGATAGCCAAACATGAAGTCCTTTTTCCAGTTCTGCATCACATATTCTGTCAAAGGGAATAATGGCAGTGAGTTTAGGGGTATGCAAACAACGTGTCTTTGCCAGTTGATTTTTTTTTTTTTTTTTTTAATCCCCACAATAATAAAGTTGTACAGCTCATTTTTGTATTAAAAATTGAACAAAGGAAGAAATTCAAACCTGACACAGGGTTTTTGATTGACAGAAATACTTCATTAAAATCTGAAATATCTTTCCAAGAGGACTGGAACAAGCTCTTAAGTTTGTTAAGACGAAGATTGTTGAACCTGAAAGAGATCACAGAAGGAAAAATACAGATGAATGCTCAGATTTTCAGTGTCTGGTTCAGTTTTGTTTCTCAATTTAGTTTGAGATTTCTCAGTTAAAGGGATAGTTCACCCAAATATAATTTACTCACCCTTATGTTGTTCCAAACCTGTATGAATTTCTTCGGTTGAACTAAAAAGATATTTTGAAGAATGTTGTAACCAGACAGTTGACTGTAGTCATTGAATTCCATGTTAAGTAGGGGGGAAACGAAATAGTCAATGACTACTGTCTCGTTACAACACTCAAAATATCTTTAGTTCAACAGAAGAACTTCATACAGGTTTGGAACAATAGTAGCATAATAATAGCATATTTGTTAGGGATACAGGCAAAGCGATGAATGCAAACTGGGTAACCTACGCTTCATTTAAGTTTTCCTTGAAGTCCACAGCTTTTTTAGCTTCAAACTGAACGTCAATAGGAAGTTCATTGCTTGAGTTGGCATCTATACTCATGGGGAAACCAGGCTGCCACTCCTTCCACCTTCAAGAAAAGGCAACATTAATCTTTCAGTTATTGGACCAATAATTATATTTGGTGATGCACTGTTTTCTCTCTAGTATAAGTGAAATGACAATACAAGAGTGTTAAGCATTTTAAACTGTTAAACAAACCAACAATAAACTGAATCTGGAGGAAAATAAAGACAACTTTACACCATGATTGAATATTGTCCAAAAAAACTGTGATGAGTAGGATCAGTCAACAAACACGGGGAGTAATGTCTTCTCCGGTTATTGTCACTTGCACTTTGTGTCACATGTATAGTATAGCATTCTCTGTCAGCGGTGAGGGCTTTACTTGTGATAAATGCAGGGAGATAGTCAGGCTGACGGAGAAGATTTCATACTAAAGACACACACTCTTACTAGCCTCGATTAAAAATTGGGACGCAAGGGCTTTAGATACTACTTTGGATACTCTAGCTTAGTGAACCCTGTACATTGTTTTGTCCCGGATGTAGAGCCCGTGCAGGAGGGCAACCGTGAGACGCTGTAGTCACGGGACAAAACACTGCTCTTCCATTCCGATTACCATAACAAACAGATTCTCCCCACTCAGTGAAACACCCCCTTCCTGTTCAAAGGAGTGATGAGATACTTAGATGGTCCTCACTCAATAGTTGGCTGTCTAAGTGGTGCCCGCAAAATATAGGGTTGGAAAGGTTTTTGGGGCAGACCTGACCGCTGTTCATCTCACAGTCTTAGAGCTCAAACATGACAATCTGGGGCTCAGGTCAGGAAGCAGACAAACTGGCTAAACCGACCGTCTGCCAGCTGTCTCACGTCACCAAGGTCAGATAAATCCCATCACATAGAGGCTCTTTCACCCAGATATCACAGAGTGTGTCTGTTCCCGAATTAGGAAATACAAAACTCCCAAACCCATTTAAGGGTAAAAATGTAATTGATGTTCAACAAATAACAAAAAGACATAATACAGATGAACAAATGATAAAGCTTGGGTTGCTGAATATTCGATCCTTTACTTCAAAAGCACTTATTGTTAATAATATGATTACAGATTATAAACTAGATGTGCTGTGTTTGACAGAAACCTGGCTAAAACCAAACAATCACATTACTTTAAATGAGTCCACCCCCCAAGATTACTGTCATAAACATGAGCCTCGTATGAAAGGCAAAGGGAGAGGTGTTGCTGTAATTTATAGTAATATTTTCAGAATTACTAAGAAGTCTTGTCAAATATAATTCTTTTGAAGTTTTGGTGCTTATGTAACGCTATCTAGTGTAAATGATAAATCACGTTTAAGATTTGTGCAAGCTGCTGTATTCAGGCCACCATACAGACTTTATCAAAGAATTTGCTGATTTTCTATCGGAGTTCGTCCTGGCTGTAGATAAAGTCCTAATTGTTGGTGATTTTAATATACATGTAGATATCGAAAAAGATGCATTGGGATTGACATTTAAAGACATTCTTAACTCTATTGGAGTTAAACACGTGTCAGGACCTACTCATTGATGTTATCATACTCTAGATCTAATATTATCACATGGAATCAATGTTGATGCTGTTGAAATTCTGCAGCAGAGCGATGACATCTCAGATCACTATCTAGTCTCGTGTAAACTTCATTTTGCCAAGGCTGTAAAGCCGACTCCGTGTTACAAATATGTTAGACCTATCACTTCTGCCACTAAATATTGCTTTATCAATAATATTCCTGATCAGTGTCATCTCTTCAGAATCCCATTTAGCTTAGAACTCGATATTGCGACAAAATTGACTCTTTTCCAGCACTTTAGATATAGTTGCTCCTTTGCCCTTAAATATTAAAGAAAATAGTCCAACGTCGTGGTACACTCAGGCCCTTAGTGCGTCCAGAAAAATGGGGAACAAAATAGTTTTCACATTTTACGGAAAGAGCACGATTGCGTACAGAGAGGCCTTAAAAACTGCTAGATCTGGTTATTTTTCAACCCTATTAGAAGAAAATAAACAAAACCCTAGGTATTTATTTGAAACAGTGGCGAAACTAACGAAAAATTAAGCTTCAACCCCAGACGTTTCCAAGCAGCACAGCAGTAATGACTTTATGAACTTCTTCACTTACAAGATTGATAATATCAGGGAGAAAATTATAACTATGCAACCGTCTACTACACCATCGCATCAGACAGTGCAGTGTAGTCTCTGAGGAAAAATTTGATTCATTCATTGCTATAGGAGAGGGTGAATTTTCTAAACTCGTTAAATCTAAATCGACAACATGCATGTTAGACCCTATACCGACTAAACTATTGAAAGATGCTTCCAGAGGTCATAGATCCTCTTCTCAATATCATTAATTCATCCTTGTCATTAGGATATGTACCAAAAACTTTTAAGCTGGCTATGATCAAACCGCTTGTTAAAAAAAAAAACTTGATCCTACAGAATTAGTCAATTACAGGCCGATCTCGAATCTACCTTTTCTCTCAGATACACTAGAAAAAGCAGCATCCTCACAATGTTCCTTTTTAGAAAGAAATGGTAATTTCTTGAGATTAATGATCTTAGTGCTGCATTTGATACCATTGACCACAACATTCTTTTAAATACTCGAAAATGGTGTTGGCATTAGTGGAATTGCATATAAGCATGGTTTAAATAATATTTATCTGACCGTTATCAGTTTGTAGCAGTAAATGAAGAGATGTCTTGTCAATCACAAGTTCAGTATGGCGTACCACAAGGCTCAGTACTAGGACCGTTGCGGTTTACTCTGTACATGCTACCCTTGGGAGATAAATTAAGGCCAGACAAGTCAATTTGTAAAGAAAGACTGCACGTCGTCTGCGCACATATATTCAAACGCGCATACCTATAGACTGAACATGTAATGCGTATGTGCACGCCCCCAGCGTTTTCACAAGTTTGCGTTTTTGAAGTTTGCACAGAGAAAACCTTTTTTTTTCATAATTTTTCAGGAACCCATTTCAAGGTTTGCATTCGAGTCACTAGGCACCTTTTGTGCAAATGAGCGGCCGGAGCGTGTTAATGGTTTTCTGTTAGAGCGGTGTTGTGTTAGCGGCCCCTAAGTTAATAACTAATGATCTTTGCAACGGAAGTTAATCAATCAAAACTAACTTTAGCTGGACAATAACTTTATTCTAGATCTGCTGTGAAGCCAAACAATATATATTGTTAAAAGCGCTATCTAAATGGAGACTTGACTTGATTGTAACTGTGGCCTCAAACCTGAACAGTTGTTGTCTGGATTCCAGTTCCGTGCGTCTGTGCTCATTTAGCAAACAGGTTTTATCCTCGTGAGACAATCGAGCTAAAGGAAAAGACATAACAGTATTTGTGACATGATTCCTTCAAGACTGGATCGTGTGAACAGAGTCGGGATAGGACTCACCCGTGCCATCTCGAAGAACCACTTCATTTTCACTCGCGATCCAGCGATAACAGGGGAAGTCAAAGCGATCTCCAGAGGGTGACGTCACACTGATGCATCTACAGTACCACTGATCATTGAGCAAGTTCTGCTTCTCGAGCTTCACCAGCACAATGTCTCCAAGCCTCTCCTTCACACTGACGTCGATGGGCATCACCTTTAACAACAGATTCTGTTAGACATAACCAGAGCCTTTGCAATTCGGTGGCCCGTTTCAAGCACAACAGAGGGCCCTTCTGTTATGAGGCCCTGTTTAAAGTAAAACAGGCCTCTATACTGGACATCACAGGTTATGTGCAAAAATGAAAGAGGATTTAATTAAGGAAGAGACAAATCAAAAATACCACACCAATTTTCACACTCAGTTATTGTGTGATACAATATAGTTTATTTATTAAACAGTTTTATGAAAGCTTGTTTCCACCTCTGAATAAAAAATAAAAAGTTAATTGGGATCTCGCAATGCTGACATCACAGATTTACGAGTTTCACACAATTGCGAGAAAAAAAGTCAAGTCAGAATTTGAGAGAAAGCCAGATTTGTGAGTTATAAAGTCCAATTCAAGTGGAAAACGTTTTCCCCCTCAGAATTAAGAGTTTATATCTTTATATCTGAGGAAAATAACATTTCCAACATATTTTAAATTAGAGTGTCTGTCAGAGGGCTTTATATTGCTGGGAATAAACTGGACAAGTGAAGAAATATGTGGACGCTTTGGTAGGGAACAGCAGGGTTACAGAAATGCAATTTGGAGAAACTTTAAACCGTCATTGAGACTGATTTCTATGTTTTCGCTACAGAATGAAAAATAAAAAAGGTAATTGCGACTCACAATTCTGACTCTCATAATTGCGATTTGCAAAATATAAAGTCCGAATTGCGTGAAATAAAGTTGCAATTGTAGGTTATGAAGTCAGAATTGCGTGATATAAAATTGCAATTGTTTGTTGTAAAGTCAAAATTATGAGATATAAACTCGCAATTGAGAGAAATATAGGCTAGGCCTACTTTAAATTCTGACTTTCTCTCAGAATTACATGTTTAGCCTACATCTCGCAATTATGACTTTATAATACGCAATTGGGAAAATTAAAGTCAGAATTGCATGATATAGGCTAAAGTCGCAATTGCGTGTTATTAAGTCAGAATTGTGAGATGTAATTTTTTCTCTCGCAATTCTTAGCCTACTTTATAACACGCAATTGCGACTATTTTTCACGCAATTCTGAGAAATAAAGTCACAATTATCTTTTAAAATGGTTTTATTCCGTGGCGGAAACAAGCTTCCATATATTTCTCACTTTTTGTGGGGAAACAAAAAAGGATTTAATGGTCTGATAAGTGATAATCAACTTTATGTTTTATATTTAATATTTAAAAAAAAAATCCTACCGTTCCTCTTGCAAACCGTTGAAAGAAGGATTTGTCCAGCAGAGTCCGGTCACTGCATCTCTCCGTGCCCGTCAGCGTCAGGTAAACATGATCAATTGTCCCAGCAAACTCCTGTTTACCAGTGGAGACAGAGACTGTGTACGTGAACATTGTGCTCAGATGCAAGGAGTACAACTGACTCTAAAACCCGTGGCTTTTTAAAGTTAAACTCAGTTTCGGATTTCCCCTTTGCATTGGGGTGTGGTCTATCAATCTAACTTGTGATGATAATTTTGTGGTCTTTTGGCTTTATCAAGAAATGCAGGTGTTACGAGATTTTCGGTTTCAGTGGGCGGAGGAACATGAATATTCATTCGCGGAACTGAGAATCAAGCTCCTTGTATCACAGCAGGATAGATGGATTATTAAAAAAAAGGCACATTTTCTGTAGTTTTCAATGCATAAATGGTAAAAAAAAAAAAAAATGTTGTTGGTTTAACTTAAAAAGTAAGTTTACCTGATTGGCTAAAACATATTTTAGTTTATTACATTTTTAATTAATTTTTAATTAATACAATGAAGGAGATTGATTTTAAAAAATAGAAACTCAAAATATGATGTTATCTGAACCACATTAGTTGATTTGACAAAAGAAAAAAAAGTTGTGTTAACAAATCATGAAAATATTTTTTACTGTAGCCTATACAATTGTTTATAGTTTTGTAACCGTCTATAAAAAAATTATTAGCACGTTTTGCGCAGTTTACTGAATGACTGCAGGTATTCACTTGTGTAACGTTAGAATAAAGCACAGCAAACCTCAACTCGTATACATTTATTTAATTTCGTTGTGCTTTTCCTTTGTACCTTAATGCTTTAAAACTGTATCTTTTACTAATTGTTCTCATTTGTTCACTGATTGTTTCTCATTGAAATCCTTCAAATACAAATCCTTTCAGTTTCGCTCAGAATGCAATAACTAAAATAAACCTGTATAAATGTATCATTTTTTAAAATCTATCCTGGCGTGATTGTTCTGAACTTTATTTTGTAAATATAAGAAAAATAACTAAAAAACACACAAAAGCATGAATGTGTTTAATACATAGCTAAGTAAAGTTTGGATTAAACAAAATGTACGAACAGAAGTGTAAAAATTAAAAACTACTGCCATGAGAAAAATACTTCACGTCCTTTTACAGAATAGATTTAACAACAAATTTGACGTTCACAAATATATATTTTTACAAATATGCTGGCAAAATAATATAACAAATTATTATTAACAAAAATGTTTGATTGATATTAATCTGATTAAAAGTAGTCAAAAACAGTAATATTTAATAATATAAAACAGGAATTTCTTTTTTTGTATATTTTAAAAAAAATATTCTGTGATGGCAGAGCTCATTATGCCAGTCTTCAGTGTCACATGATCCTTCAGATTCTAATATGATGATTTGATATTTGATGCTCAATAAAAATGCATGATTATCAATGTTGTTGTCACATGTCTGTCCTGTCTTGTGATGCACATGGGTGTTTTGTTATTTTGAGCCATGTGCTCTTGTCATTGTTTGATCCCTCCCCCTTGTTATCTGGTTATTGGTTTATTTGTTCCACCTGTCAGCCTCGTTACCCTCCTTTGTTTGCCTCCCTATTTAGTCTTCCTGTGTTTGTTGTCCTGTGCTCGTTCGTTGTTTATGTTACTTGGGATTTTGAGTTGTGTGTTGTTCTGTTCCTGCCATGTCGTGTTTCTGGATTTAGCAATTAGTTTATCAACCTGGATTTCCTTTGTTTGATTTATGTTTTACTTAATTAAAGGCTTTCACCTCTCCATTTGAGTCCTCGCTCCATTCTCCGCAACGCACCCGTGACAGTTGTAAACGGTTCATACTTTTGTGGAAACCGTGATACATTTTATTTTTTCTTAATGATTCAAAGTTTAAAAGAACAGCATTTATTTGAAATTGAATCTTTTGTAACATTATAAATGTCTTTACTGTCACATTTCTTAAATCATAGTGATTCCAAACTTTTATCATGCAAATCTTAAGAGTGATGAAAAAAAAGGCAGAATCAAGACATACATGAAACTTTATGACTTATAAATAATGTTGAATGAGTGTTTGTATAAAAAGATCATGCATTTGTATCATCCAGGCACACATCAACACATGGTCAAAGAAACAACAGATGACAGAGAGTAACATCATTGCAAAATGTTTATTAGGACACTGAAATGGTTGTGGATGTTATTTCAGTCTTTGCCAGGCTGAAACACAGTTTTAAAGCTTCATAAGGTAACAGATGAGCATAGCAATAAATAAATTAAATGGTAGGCTAGTTGGTTCACGTATTTAAGAATATTCTGCATGTTGTAGTCATTCAGCTGCATTAAAAAACAATGAAATTTCAGCAACAATTATTAGCATTGTAATACTTTTACCACCAGACAGTTCACAACCAGAGAATTGCTGTGCTTTATTCTAACATTACACGAAGCGAATACCAGCAATCATTCAGCCCAGTACGACTGCACAAAACGTGCAAACTAATAAAAACATTATTAACTGATGAACACCTGTAGTTGAGGCATAGGTTCTGTTCGCGCTGAAACGATATTTACCTTTTACCATTACTTACGTATATTTACAATTAAACCTGCTGAGAAACAAGGAGCCTGAACTAAAATTCTCAGTTCCACGCGCATGCCCGGGAAACTCATGAATATTCATGTGACTCCGCCCACTGAAACCAAAAATCTCAGAACACCGGCGCTAAGTGTATTCCTGCAATACTGGAGGGCGGAGGCTGGGGTGTAAACTACAACTTAGCCTAGTTTTGACGTAAATTAGAGCAGTTACAACTTAGGCACTAGGCTATGAGCAAAATACACATAATAATGATTCGACATGTTCAAACTTTTGGCATATTTACATATAGATATAATAATAACAATAAAAAACTTTATTTATATAGCACTTTTCAGGCATAAAATGCAGTTCAAAGTGCTTTACATAAAATGATATAGTCAAATATCAACAGTAACATCACATTCAATAAAAACATGTGCATTAAAAAAACATTACATGCAACGCATAAAGGATAAAATACTAAAACACATGAATGACAAACATAAAAGTACAGTACAAGTAAGCTACACGACACATCTAATAGGAAATAGTGAAACATAGGAGACAATTTATTATAAGCACAATTCGGAGTAACTAATTAAATGGCAGAGTAAAAAGATTCATTTTTAACTTTCTTTTAAAAATACTAAGATTAATTCCCTAATATCTGATGGTAGTGTGTTCCATAGTTAAGCTGAAGTCTATTCATTGATTTTTATGGGCGAGCAGTAAAAAGTGCATTTCAGTCAAGTCAACTTGAGCTTGATTTGTTTTTTCTGCACCTTTCTGGATTAAAAAAGGCTGAATTTTAGTTTCTTAGGTGAAAAAATGAAGATTTTGCCAGCTTGTTAATATGGGAGTTAAAACTTAGTCAAAAATAGCACTTCAATTTAACCAGATTCTGGAGCAACATTTCTCTTTTAGTTTTAGTGCTAACTAGAAAATCAGTCTTATCCATAGGCGTCGATTTCGGTGGGGACGGTGGGTACGCGTCCCCACCAGATTTCGTCATGAGTCATTTTGTACCCACCACTCTTGGAAACATTGAGGCATGGTCGGATGTACCTAATACAAATAAAACATCTCCAGTTAACTAGCAGAGCATTCATTTAGTTCGATCTTAAATAAGAGATCTAGCTAAAATGTTTTGTTTTTTAACTCAAGCCGAGCGCTCGTGTCCGCTGCTATCAGTGTCGTGGATACAGTGTTCTCTGTGGCTCGCGCACAGTCTTCACTCGGACGCGCACTTCAATCTATCGCCGTTGCGGAGAGACTCTGTATATATTAATTCCGGTGAAATTACAAAATAAAATGCACACAAACGTGTCCCTGGCTGCTTGATATAGACTGTAACCACTGATGAACATTATTCAGTTTTGAGAGAAAAAAAACTATACCGAGGGCGGATTAGAACCCGTCACCTCTGACACGCTTGGCAATAGACCTACCACCAGACCATTTAAGAACTCAAACAAAAATTTGCGGATCGATGCATTTATATACAGGTTAAACAGGCTGCAGAATTTGTACCCAGCACTTTTGAAAATGCACTTCCGAATGCGTCTCTGTCCCCACCACATTTCAAACCAAACTGACGCCCGTGGTCTTATCCTCGTAATAAGTAATACCAAGTGCAGCAGGTACAATAAAAACAATAAAGGACTAAGCCAGTGCTTTATGTTTCTCAGACACATGCTCTCCAAGTTTAACATAAAAGTCTCTCCCTTTAATATATGTTTTAACCCAATTTAACACAACGATAGCTTTTCCAAACGACTGATTAAAATATCATGCATTTGACTTTTTACATTTGTTTACTCCCTTTTCCCCCAAATGGAGGATGGTATTTGATCATCTTTTACCCACTGTGTGTTCTTGTTCAGCTTTAAATCTGCATTAGTCAGCGAAACAGTAGATTACTGATTAACTACAGCAGTTTGTGGGTCAGAAGCTCCTCCGGCAGAAGCTCAGATCCTGATGGAGAAACATGACGACTCGCTGCTTCAGGGCCGGAGCAGAAGCGATGCATGTCGGCCGATGTGCTCCGTTCCTCCACACCAGCAGATGAACGAGTGTGTGTCGCCACGGTACGATCATGCATCTCCTCTCTTTAATCAGCGTGTTTTACAGAATAATGCAAAATGCATGATCATTATATTATGCTCATGAATAATGCATGATGTTGTTTTGTGTGTAATGCATCCAGATTCATTTTTAAATGTTCATATTTGCTATTATTGTGAAATGTCATGGATTATGGAACAGAGCAGAGTTTGTTGACTTTATGTGAGCAGAAGGACTTTGTCTTGTGTCTGTATTGGCAAACACTATGATGGTGAACTGAACAGAATCATGAGTAATGCTGAAGATTAAAAACAAACCTTCAGTATCTGAACACACACTGACACTCATAAAGTTTATTTACTGGCATCGGTGGTTCCATGAAGAGTGGTTCGGCCGCAGATCTAAAGTGAGTGCAGATCTAAAGCTGAACAAGAACACACCGTGGGTAAAAGATGGTTACCAGTGGAAATTCGACTGGCTCCG